ATATATATAAATATTAATGTATTTTATAAGACTCAATGTAAAAATTAACCAACAAATGTCCTGCAAATACAGGAATGGAATATTTCTCAAACGGCGACATAAAACTGTACAGATTGAATTTGTGTATATGTGTGTGCGCGCGCGCGCTCGTGATATTTACTTTTAATTACAATTTACCTCACGACTTTCCTTCTTTTATCGCGCTAGCCGAACTACCTACCTCGCGCTGAAAAAGTGCTTCAGGGGTGTCGTCGTAGGCGAAACAGGCATTTCCACCCCCTTTTCTACCCGGCATTAAGCACTGTCGTCGTAGACGCTAATTTAAATACGACAAGAATTCCAGATTTCCTCGGCAAAGGGTGAGAGTAGAGCCACTTTACTACCTAATACATAGGGAATGCAGATACGTATCGGACAGTACGATGGAGACGAGAGGGATGGAGAGGGAATTGTTTTTGTCGTGGGGGCAACGGAAGCTGGCGGGATACGGGGGCGTGAGAAAGAGAAGGGATCGGGAGAAGGGAGCGGGCAAAGAGATGGAAGTGAAAGAGAGAGAGAGAGAGAATGGGGGTGGATTCGGCTACGCAGCGCTACCGCGGCCGACCCGGGAAACACGGACGGGGTTGGTCCGAAAGCTCTCTCAGTCGCGGACAAGCCGCCACGCAGTGATAACACCCTATATATCGCGGGCAACGGTAACTTAAACCCGCGTCTCACTACTAGTCTCGTTTTGATGAGAGCGTAAGTTTATTAGTGAGCAGCATAAACGTTATTATTTTTTTTGTTTTAATTAAATCTACTAATCCGAATATCAATATTACCATGTCGGATGGATGATCCGCATGCAACTCGAAGAGAGATCCACGTGGTAGATCGAATTCTCGAAACTTTTTCTTTCAAACTTCGTCTCTATCTTAAAATCAAATTTTTTTCCCTGTATCTCGCATAATTTTCAGTTTTCTGGTGATAAAAAACCGTATGTTAACCGAGTATTGAAAATGTTACGCAAGTGCCGGAACAATTATAAAAGACGTGTCGCAGTTTTTACATCAAATCAGGACTGGCATCTTATCACCGGTCATCCTCACAGCTGCGACTAACGAGAAGTGCTCTTGTATTTTATTACGCTAACGTTTTGTAATCGCGATGTCGTGATACCGCGATTCTGTGCCGCGGCCATCAATCCGCCGTGTGAATATGCAATTACGTTTTGTCAGTTTCGGTTCCATTCAATTCACTTGAAATTGTATTTGTATTTGAAAGAATTGATATAACCGCGTCGTACAAACTTTCAATACTTTGACTGTAACATAGACCAGTGTTTATGAGTATAATAAAATATTATATTCTTTTTTTTTTTAAATAATCGTTATTAGCGTGGCATAGCACAGAATTGGAATAATAATTTAAAATTAATTCTCACTTTATACGTTATATAGAACGATCTTTTTTTTCTGTTTCTTTTGTGTTTTTGTTTTGTCTCCGAAAAAAACTGGAACAGCGCGAAAAAGCGTGAGAGATAAGGCATTATCATTTTCGCGAAAAGAGTGATGCTCGAGTGAGATAGTGCAGAGGCGTGACAGATTTCCCCAGGCGCGTATGAGATTCTCTTTGAGCTGGTCGCGCTAACGATCTAGCGGCTCGCTTTTTCGGCAACCGCATGGGCAGTTAGTTTTCAGTTGACCGTGCGAAAAGGCAGTTACGAACTTTATGATTACACACCGCGCAGCGAATTGTTTCATTCGCCGATTACATGCAAGCTCGCAGGCATAATTCGTTCCAAGTGTTGCACAACGAGGATTGCGTGCCGCGGTATCTTCGCGCGGTATCTCGGTTTTTGGGATGATTTTATGTACGCGCGAAGAATTTATCAGGATCGTTTCATCGAATCTCGACGATAAACCAAAAACAAAAAGAATTGCCTCACACGTAATCTCTTTTCCGCGAGTTTTTCCGCGGAAAAAAATCCCCGGAGAACTGCAAACAAGGTTATTAATTCACGCGATGGTCGTATCGAACGTGTTTTCGCGAGCCAAATGTATTTCTGCGAGGAGGTGAGAATAGAGCCTAGCGGTACACTTATCATTCGGGGGCGTTTGGGCTGCCTCCAATTTCTGGCGATTGTGAGCATTGCCCGGATAAAAAGGGGTCAGCCGACGTGTACAAAAAAAAAAAAAAAAGCAAAAAGAAAAAGTGTGCAATAGTGCGCGGCGGCGAATGAAAAAGATTTTCGCGTTTAATCGCATTGCGCGACGCGCCTCTGCAACGTTCGTTAAATATTCATGGCAACCGGACGGTGAGACTCTCGCAGGCGGCTAAATTATTTATGATTCTTTTATGTCGTAATCGAGTATAACATAGTGAAAGTATTGTTGCGAAATACAAGAATTGCGGAATATTCATACGAAATTTCGTTTTGTCTTACGCGTCGCGCGTTATAATTTCAGAGTTTTTTTTTGCGACAAAGCTATCCGTTAATTCATATTGTCACGTTGAATTTTCGCGTTCTTGTCATTTTTACATCACGAGAGTGAGATACTGCTTCTGCATTAACGATGAAGACCTTTATCACTGATACACCAGATACGTCGGAAAATTCCATCAGAAAATGAGTGGGATGTAATTTTGCGCTTTCTTTTTTTTTTTTTTTTTTGAGAAATTACTTTTCAAGTAATTTCTTAGAAAGTACTACCTAACCGGAGCAGGGTGAGGAAGAAGAAGACAAGTTTTGATGAATACGCGCTCGCAGTTTGCAAAGTTTGTGAATTATTAAGTTCCGTGAATTACGCAATCGGCAATTACGCGAGATCAACCTGTCTTCTTTCATTTCTTTCGATTCAAATTAATATTGCGATCCTGATTGAAGAACCTGGTTGGGTTACACACAACGCAAACATCCATCGTCCTCACGTGGCGTCACGGTCAACTAGACTGCTTGCCAAGGCTTGACAGAAATTCTATCCGGTATACTCTTTTGGAATTGATGCGTGTGTGCCTTAAAGCCAGGAAAGCTTGCGACCGTTGAATCAGAGCGACGATGAAAGACCAATTCCCGGGTAATCGAACTAGAGCTCTCGCTTCCCGTTAGGTTCCTCGTTATATTGCTTCATCTCACGGGTTCGGCAGAAATTCCCGGGTTGCGTCGAAGCGGAGCAGTTTGGCTTTTTCTCATCCCCTTTAACGTCCTTAACGTCGTTGAAACGTCGTTTTCCTCGCATCCTTGTTCGATCGCTCTTGCATGAACGGATGAACGATGTATCTCTTGTGCGCGTTTGTTCGACGAATAAATTTTATCAATTAATTGGGACTACGCATGCGCGTTCCGAGAAAAGTTTCCGACAATGTACATTAATTAACGTGTTTCGAAAATATATTTAGAACATGATTGCGCGCTCGCGTTGGATACAGAGTTTAACCTAAACCGTCGTCGTTTGCCGTTAGTTTTCGTATGGCTTCTGTGTTCTCGATTTCGTACTAGCCGAATGCGCAACGAGCTATTTAAACTTTCGGTCAGCGGAGAAGTAGTTAAAGTTCGCGAAATTCGAGTAACGCGTGTGTACTTTAATTAACACGCATACGTAGGAAGTTCCTTTGGTTATTAAGTTCCTGTCGTCTGGAAATTGGATGTACAAATCCAGAAATGCTCATCTCGTGGCACTATATATTCACATTCGTATGCTCCGCACACATATATATATGTATATATATTCACATAAATTCTTGATTTGCCGTGATATAAAGAGATATACATATATATATATATATAGACGCGAGAAAATACAATTGTGTTAATGTCAACGAATAAGCTTAAATTATTATAATTTTTTTTCTACAGAAAATACACGAGCTGCATATTAATTTATATTTGCATTTTGCATAACATCACGTTTTTGAATGACGAAAATTATTTCAACATTATTTTAACATTATTTTACAAAATATACAATATAATTTTAAATATAAAATATAATTATTAAATATACAATATAATATATATTGTTGTCTCATATGTCACATTTAAATTATATTAAAATAGAGAATTATATTAGAAAGAATTTTTTTTTTTTTGTCAGATCAAAGTGTACCTCTTATTATACGCGAACAAAAAACAGATTTAGACGAGAAGACATTAACGAGACACACACACACGTTTCGCGCGCAATAAATTCCAAAATTCACTCGAATTCCGAAGCCCCGAAGGTATGTCGTAATCGAGTCACTCTGCGGTCAATCTTAAACTACCGAGTTATACGAGTGACTCTGCGGCACTCGCGCGCGCTCCGGCACTTTAATCCGAGAGACTTGAGAGTGCACCTGGTAGACGACGATGGTATATCTCTTCCCGGCTGCGAACTTCGGGTTAGCTTGCGAGAGGGATGGGCACGATGGGGAGGACACGGAAAGGCGGTAGACCCAATTACATCTCGTTCGTGCAGAATTGGACGAATACATACAAGATGCTTAAGACGCTTTAACTACCTCGAGATTTGTACCCACATTCTAACTGTCGAGATTCGTTTAAGTACCTTACGTCGCGGACTTTCGTCGGTTACCAAGGATTTCGATCGGCCTATAAATCCGTCTTCACAAACTGACAATTTGCGCCAAATATCTCGCGCTCTTGGTTAAATGTAACTTCCGATCTGCAGTTATTTCTGATTTCGATTTAATAAATTTGTAGAACATTTGTATTTGTACTTTTTATCTGTAAAGATATTTAGTTACAATTTACCACAATTTGCGCGCTCTTTCTTTCTCTCTCTCTCTCTGTTTTTCTTCTCCTTTTTATTGATTATAATTAAAAACAAAAACAATTTTATAGCATTAAAAATGGGATAACTTCCTTGAATAAACGCCAATACAAAATTGTTGATAAATTGTGTATTGTTTACAAGCAATATTCTTTTTGTTACAGGTCGCTTTGCTACATAAGATTTCTCTTGTAATGTCGCGCGGAACGAAGCCCATCAACAACGATGAAAGAAATTCTATGAAACCGAAGATCCAAGATTAACTGACATAGTTCGTGTACATCACATCGCTTCGGGAGGTTAATGGGACGCAGCCAGCGAATGGAGACGCGATGACACGCTGCCAGCCAAAACCGAGGGCTCCTTGAGCCAGGATTAGAAGGCTGCCTAAAACCCGAGCGCGCTCCGGTCCTCTCATCCCAGATCGATCAAACCATGTGAACTCTTCAGAGAGCTTCGAACTTCGCGCACTAGATTCAGCATCGCGGTTGCTCCACACGCAATCCACGCAAATCCGTGTGGAAATTGAAAAAACTGCTGCGCTGCGATTCTCTCTCCCAAAAAAAAAAAAAAAAAAAGAAAAATACATGAAAGAAGAACATTGTGTGAAAAGAAGCAATTGCCTTTGATCTCGGAATAAACAAAGGATTGTCTGTCGATGACAGATTTACTCTCTGTGCGACGAAAGTTTCGAGAAGAAAAGACGTCGCGAAAGACTGTCGCTTTTGCAAACCGTGTCAGTGAATTGACCGCGCTTGGACCGTGGTGGTTCGGACAATCGATAATACCGGGGTCGTAAAACTTTTCGCGCGCGACACGTAACGTGTCTGATAAATAATTCAATCGGGAGAGTCACGGGGTGTGAAGCGCAAAAAAGTGACGGATCATTCTCGCTATCTATGAGAAGGAAAACCTCGAAACGTCTTGCGTGTTTTGCGACGCGGACGTTGTGATGTGTCGAAATCGATATCGATCCCATGTGTTCGAGATTGAGGAAGAGAACGAGGATTAATACGTCGTGAATTACACCGAACAAGTGTGTGCGGTACGAGAGTGATAAAAAAAAATTTAAAAAAAGTGCAAAATTATTGACGTTATTTGGGCAAACAATTTGGCTGAGGTTCTGATGACATCTTGTTCTCTCACTGCGGGAGGAGGGGATAGCGTCTGAATAGCGTCGGATACCGCAAATATTTGTCGCGCCACGTAATCGGCTGAGCTTAACGCGCGTCACAAAGCATCCTCATCGTAATTCAAACTTTGTCACTCGACGTGAAACGGAAAAAAGGAATCTTCTATATTCGCACGCTGATGTCAGACACAGAGTTCTCGCGTAAAGATCCGGAAAATACCGGGTCGCATAAATCGTGATATACGAGCAATTAAGAAGTAAATCGCAAGACCGCGGTAATTAAGGCGGTAGAGCTAAGGCACGAAGACGCGCATGCCTCGCGGTAATTAATTACTCTTTCGATGTGAGAGAGTTTAGAAGAGAGTCTCCTCCTCTCTCGGAGAGCTATTAAATAGACTTTTGAAGAGTTACGCGTAAGATCGTGAATAGAGCCGCATAGCCGGCAAATTTTTGCGATAGTTGTAATTATACCGTGAAACAAGCGAGCTTACGTGAGCTTTTGGCGCAGCTGCGAAGAATCGTCACGCGATTACACAAGACTGCGTACTAAAATACGCAAAGAAATATACGACAAAAGAAAATTATACACGCACACACACGCACGCACACATACACGCACGCACAGCAAAACTCAAAAGCTATTTCTCGGTTTTCCGAGAAGTCAGCGTTGTTTCGCTCTCGGCAATTTCGACATGCGGGCGATACCATGTGCGCTTCGTTAAACTGACAATAATCGTCAACCGCGTGTCACAAACTACTCGTACGTGGGAAGAGAGCGAGTGTTCGCAAATGGGATTTTGGCGATGCACCTACGATGACGTCGTTTCGTGATTTGATCGCTCAACCGTCGTTGCAGCGCGTGCAAAGTTTCGCCGAGTAAACCGTCTTTTGCACGAGCGCTAGTATCGGGCGCGTATTTCCACAAAGAGAAGGGATAAAATTTTGAAAGAGAAGAATTAATTTTGGAACTGTTAAAAAAAAAAGAAAAAAAAGAAAAACGGCTATTTTTTTCCAAGTGCTTATCTCATATAGAGGATTGTGGGAGGAGGGAGGGGGGAACGATTGGTTTTGGTCGGAGAGAGCATGAAGATCCTTATCAAAAGCATTTTCGGACATTGACAATCCGTCAATTCGTTTGAATATTCGATGAACTCAAATCACGAACGGGAATAGTGCGTAGGAAGAAACGCTTACCTACTAAAAAAAATCCGCCACGCGATATCGATTAATAGTAATCCCGAAAAAATAACATATATATATATATATATATATTCGGTCAAAAAGTGTGTACGATTTCGAGACATCATCGAGAGAAACCGACGGATTGCCGCCGCCGAGCAAATGTCATGGACTTTATCGCAGCCGATATGTGATATCTCGGAACGAGTGGGCGCGCTGTTCGATAGAGAATGACGGTGACGTGTACGTCGTTCGTGGATGTTGTTCAGTGCAAAATCCGGGATGCCGCTGTGAGTAACTGTCAATAAAGACAGAGACGCGACGAGTGCGGCACAACGCGAGATCAGTTCTGGTCGACGACGTCGTCGTCGTCGCTGTCGTCGTCGTCGTCGTCGTCGTCGTCGTCATCATCATCATCAGCGGGAAAGAACAGAACCGCCCGACAACGCTTACAGAAACATCCAGCATGAAGAATCAGCATCGAGGAGGATGGCTGCGCGCCGTGCTGCCTCTGATAACGTTCCTCTCGCATCAAACGGGTGAGTGTGTGCAAAGCTTCCGTTATTATTGCAGTCGGCTTTTTTCGCGCCGACTTTCAGCGAGTTAATTGAGTCGCGCGATATTTTTCACGTCACTGTCCGTGCGCTTAATTGCGTCAGTTCGCAAAAATTTCGCGTTTTATCAAGTATAAATGTAAAATAACTTACGAGAACAGAGCTGAGAGATCCGATCGAAAAGAGCGATAACAATAATGCGAAAAAAATGTTTCAAACGGTTTGAATATTTTTTATTTAGCATTTTAAAAAAAAAAAAAAAAGAAAACACGATAAAACGTAAGGCAAGAATCTAAATAAAAAGATTGCTTTTTGAGAATAAATGTAAAAGACCAGAGAATTAGCAAAATACGTAATAAAAAAAACATTAAGCACACAAATATATAATATTATAAGTAACGTTCTGTATAGGTAAATGAAATTTTTGAATAAATTTCTCATTGCGTGTGGACAACCAGTAATTTAACCAGAGTTCAATGAATGTGAATGCGATAAATGCTTTTATCGATGATTAAAATGTAAAACCGATTATTACAAAATATACATGTTCGGAAACATGCGCAGATACACTTGTACGCGTAAATCTAGCGCACACACGGTGCAAACCAGCGCACAGTTATAAGCATATTTTTTGCTACTTTCGGGTGGCCCAAATAAACTTAAAGCGGCGCAACGACATCCTGTCGCTCATTTGAACAAAGCACGAGCTTCGGTAAAGTGGGTCGCACCGACACATATTATATTTCATACAAACGTACACACACACACACACACACACATGTGCGCGCACGCGATTATAAATCGAACTGTAAATAACTATAAATAAAAATATTGTAGATTCAATTTCCCATCCTCATTTCCGACAGGATATTGCGATGTAATGAAACGGTCAATATTGACAGTTTTGCAGGATATGACTGATTATTAGATCAAGCGTGTTATTATTATTTTTACTTGAAACTATGTATATACTATACGTATATACTATATATACCATACGTATATACTATACGTTTTTCTTGTTTTAGCACGTCTGCAAACGTCGATAAGTAATAACAAGTAAAAGTTCAGGGTCGATAAACAACTTCGATAAGTGTTTCGGCATTTAGTTAATTGACCACTTCGTCGCGATCTAGAAAAACTAGTGGAACAAAAAAATGCAACCGTCGAGATGTTTTTATAGGAGGCGCTGTAGTACGTACGGCTATCTCGATTGTAAAATAGATTTGTTCGTCTCTTCGATCGCGAACACAAATTTCGTTACCATAACGTTTCGCGCGATAAGATGATTTTTCGAATGGAACCGCTCAAAAGCCGGTCACGTTCTTAAATACCGCGAGCCACTATCGCGTTCGAGTTGATTTCCATGCAATGAATGGACTCATGAATAAAGCGCCTTAAACCAGATCGCTCGACGAAAGGCAGTCTGCCAATAATATCAGGGCGAACTCTCCCGATCGACGCATCAAGGTATTCATATAATTCGCTATATATATTCTGAATTGCATCAAATCGAGAGCGGAGCCGCGAAGTAAAGAGCAACGAACGATTTGAACTGTTCAGGTCAAGAGTGTCAAGTTATGTTCTTACGCCTCAAACCGGTGTCTTCTTCGAGCGATTTGTCACGCTGTCTCTTTGACGCCAGTTGTCCGTTTTTTTCGATCGTGCTACTGGAGTGTGTGAACAGTCAAAAAAAGAATCATTTGGTTATATTTAAAGCAAAAACAATTTGGTTTTTGTAATCCTGTAAAGAGAAGAGATATCGCTCGGATCTCATCGTAGACACGTAGCGGAAATTCATCTCGTTCGTCATATAAACTCGCTTCGCGAGTAAACCGTATATAAATCACGTGAAAATTTTGCCACGCGTTCAGAAATGATGAATATGGGGCTGTAATGTTGCGTACACGCTCTACCGATGTAAGGAAATCCCGTTTACAGCGTTTTCCTGTACCGCGAAATTGCACTTCGAGCGGGAATAGCCTCTATCAGAAATTTTATCGGACATTAAGGGAACAATTTATTTTGCTGCGCCCCGTCGAAAACTTGACGTACACTTTGAGATTTCAAAGTGCGATAAGAGATCATGTTTTTCTTTTCACGCACGCGCGATATTAGTTTACTACTTGGGAGTAATTAATTTATTTACACACGTTTCGTGTCGATTGACTGACGATAAAAACTGAAACGTTGAGATAAATTGCAGAGTGTACGACTCGATGGGGACTCATGTAAGAGAGTAGATAACTTCGCGGCGTGTTTGCACGTAAGTAGAAAAGTAGGCTGTAATTAGGCGACACTGTTAGACTCGGAAAAACTACAAACCGAATTATACATGCTCGGTAATTAACGCGTCTCGGTCCCAGCTGTTAGCTTTGGGAGAATAAACATCGTGCGCGAATTAGCAGAACAAATTTCTCTCGTTTTCCGCGGCGGCGGCAACGGCGGCGTTTCTCGCTTTTCCTGACTGACTTTCATCGCGCGCCTTCTCCTCCTTCTTCCGCTCCCTTTCCCCGAAGATCGCGGAATAAGGTGTCCGGAAATTTCATCGAAGGAGAGAAGGGACGAACTTTCTTACGAACGTCACGGAAAATTGAATTTTTAAGCGACAGGTTCATTTGCGCGAGTAACCGACTACTAACTCGAGCTCTCGCTCGACTGTGTATTTTCCGATTTCGTTGCGACTTCTCTCTTCCTCCCATGTCGCTCTATTGAACGTACGCTAATTACCAACTGTAATATTCTGCAACGAGCGAGTTCAAACGATCCCACGGAAAATATACGTTGCCTCACGCGCGCGCGCTCGCTCTCTGTATTTAATGCCCGCGTTTCGAGAAGTTGCGCCTTCGTTTTGTTCGCCAGGATCGTTGTTGTATAAATCACCATAGAAATCGCATAAATTCGAGCTTTTTGTAACGAACTGGCTTTTAAAACGTATCCTGTAATTAGAATTTGTTCGAAACATGGTATATACGTATATATAACATTGAACATGTATTCATCGAGTGGCGGCAAAAGAGATAATAATGAAATGAACAAAGCGATAAATATTCGCCTCGCATGGGGAAGACGCGCGTCCTATTTTTTCTTTTATATCTTAGTTGTATCATATCAATGTTGTGCAAAATTTGTATTAACAATTTGCAGACTAGTTTATTTAATATTCGCGATTCAGTAACTCACCTCAGCTGAAATAAACAAGACGAGCAACAACGTAATCAAGTTAAACATTGAATTCGCTTGGCTTGATTTCGCGGACGATGCTGCTCGAATTTCTTAACGCACCGAACACCGCGCGGTACACACTACGTGCACGTAGTAATATGTAAATGTCGTTTCCCGATCATCGATAATCCAATATTTCTACCTATCTCTCTCTCTCTCTTGACAAGCGATGTGTGTCCGAGAATTATTGATATCGAGCGAACGTGTAACACGTTTGCGGAATGTGGTTGATTGTAAGTCGAGAAGCCAATTTGCCAACTCGAGTTTGTCGCGGAGGAAACACCGCAAGAACACTGCGGCGTTCCATTCAAGTTATACAGGTAGTCGATGTCATCATGTATATTCTACAACGCGATATATAGAGAGATTTCGAGGACGAGAGGAGGAGAAGGAGGGAAGGGTACTGCGGCGTATTCTGGATTCACGTACCGTGCGCCATCTCGTATCACCTTTAAACGAGAGAACGTCAAAATTAATAGTACGCGCGTTATTAAACTCGGCACGCGCGCGCGCGCGCGCGAACGCCGAGTCGCGACGCGGGCTTAACTTCCGCTGAATATATCGCGTTTCCCGAAAGTATTAAACTAAATACCGGCTCGATATCACGCGCGCGGCTTAATCACGGCCTTATTCTCCGTGTAAAGAGAAAATAGCACGGCTTTATTTAATTTTATTATCCATTCAACTTAACTTTATTACAAATTTATCGACCTATTCGGAATGTTTATACTCATTATATAGGCGGATCGAGTCGACCGGAATAACGAAAAAGTTCAAAAGGCACCCGAGAAACATTTAAAAGACATCGGGGAGATTAAAATGTCTTTTAGATAGTTTGACGATGTTCTTTTTTTTGTTTTTAGACACATTGCGTCGCGTCCGAATATACTTGTCACAGTCACGTTTTTCCAATAACGGATGACGCGTTTTTAATTTCCTTTGTCGTCGGCTACATACGGTATGTTCGCGATAGCTTCAGGAACACCTTGTGTCTATGTTCTACTTTTTATATACATATATGTCGCATAGTGAATACCGAAAAATTGAATCGCGGTGTCGTCGGCCGGCATTAAGCGAACAGTAAATCGAAATTCTCCGCAGAGATCCCGGTACAATCGAACACAGACGAACGAGTTGAGAGTGCGAGAGAGAGAGAGAGAAAGAAATAGAGTGAGTGTAAACCATTACTATTGAGCTTATCAAAGTGATTCACGTGACTGGCCGACGGCATAATGCAAATGAGCCGTAAAATTATCGTAGCCTTCAGGCATCGTCAGACAAGGGCATACCTGAACTTTCTGTTCTACGTGACAGAGCACGTTACTGTAACTATTATATAGCCGCGCCCGATATCCGCTTCAGAAGGCAAAGATTACATAATAATTCGCCGCTGTGAATGATTATGCAAACCGAGTTTGTCTTTGAATTGTTCGCGAGAGAAGCGATGGTTTCTAACCTTATCGCAGTCTGAATTGTATTCGCAATTATGGTGTATCTTCGAGCGAGCAAATCTAAGAAGCATTGCACAGTTGCAGCGCAAGAATATAACTCTGGTTGAATGCAATTTTTTTATTTTTTTTTTTTAACGTGAAAACTACTTTTCGCGCGCAACAAATCGTCTCGCTTGTATCGAAACTTGATAAAATGTTGCGAAAGCAAAAACCAAACCAAGATTGAATTCTGATTGGAAACTCGTGCGAAAATAATTTCTTTTTCTTTCCCGATACGTTATAACAGTCACATATGAGAGATTAATGATC